CTACTTTGCCTTTGCCAACCCCAGCGCGTGGCTATGATTAACATTGGCGGCATAGGATAGGCGTCCGGCCAAGTGGCCGCTTGTTCTGGCTCAGAGTTGATGGGATGAACGATGCTCATATTTCTCGAATTTATTTACCGACGGCCATTGCTTAGAAAGAAAAACTAAGGCAAGTTTATTCGGTTATTAACTTGAGTAAGTGATTCTGAGTAGTATTTAGCGAAAGATAGAAAAATCGTTTTATGGCCCCTTTAACTTTGCGGCTGCTGAGTTTCCAAACTTCTGTGCTGAGCTTCCGCAGCTGAATCTGTGGCTGCTGTGCGCGTGCTGACAGCGAACTTCCACAGTTCCTTTTAACGTGCATTCCACACCATCAAGATTGCCGGTTTTAGCAGCCCATGAGTGAGCTCGTTCTGAACAGGCGCAGTGAACAACGCATTCAAATTTGGCGTTCAGCGAAGACCCCCTGCATTACTCCAAAAAGTAATTAACCACTCCTGTCACTGTACTAACAAGTCAAAAAGTTAGATTGGAGTGAATATCAAATCAAAATGAAAAATTTACATCCTTGTGCAGGCATTGGGGCGTACTTTTTACACTAAGACATGACAGCGTCATTTCTGTTCCTTTTTAAACTGTACACCAAGTTTGGTCACTTGAGGATTTTGCCAATGCCATAAAACTGTAGCTTTCTGTATTCTTTCTCGTAACCGACCCTAACAAGGGTTCAACATTTTTACCCTTCTGAGAATGGAGTTGGCACCGCGCGGTGTGCAACGTGGGTAGTGCACAAGTTCCCTGGGCGGAAATAGTGGCGTGAATTGAAGAGCCGAACACTTCGAACACAACGACCCTGTTGAGTGGAACACGCTAACCATCTTTTGAACAAATAAAGAAGGCAACAGTCGTTTCCGATTCTGGGACCTCGTGCAGTGTCCAGAAGGTATTTGGCAAGGCGCACGCTTTCAAAATTGCGACGAATGAGCTCTCTCTCTCTCTTTCCGATAGAAGATGCCGCAGTTCTTCGAGAGCAGAGCCGCATCCAAACGAAATGTATGGCCACATGTTGCGAGGTGTCGACAGCCCTGGCGTAATTAAGCGGGCAATGGCCCATGAAATATCGGCTCTTCCTTTTAGCAGGGAGCCTCATTGAGAGGTATGGAGGGGCGCTTGGCAGGATGGAGTGGACAGCATTCTTGGTAAAGCGCGGCTGAATTTTTGCGAGTTCAAGAACCTCTCCGTTAATCACGTGGATCTGTGCGATGCGATGTTTTAAAAGTAGAGCATTCATAGGTCCAGCTGGTGGGGTCTTTAGCATCCGCATATGTTGCCTGGATAACGTCAGTGTCACGGGACACTGTGACGTCACGCCAGAGGTGCTCAAAGTGCATATCATTTATGGGTCTTCTGTGACGTCACGTGACGCAATGAAATAAAATGACAGTGACGCACCTATATGGTGTCACGTGAGGTGACCTGAGTTCCCTTCATGTGATCACGTGGCGTCCGGTGACATCGTGACGTGATGCAACCTGACGCCAGGTAACGTGATCACGTCACCATGACGTCATGTGGTCACGTGGCTTCAGGGGACACCGTGACCTCAAGTGATACGATGACGTCGGGTGAAACCATGACGTGACATTTAGACACCACGTCACGTGACACTGTGACGGCTTTATATATTCACAGAACACTCGCAATGTGCCCCTCGGTGGCCTCCGTACCGTGCCCGCAAAGGGACGAGCGCGAAGAGACCCTGTAAATGCTACGCCTTTTGGGCGATGCCAAAAAAGTCAGTCAATTTTATATTTGGAAGCGGAATTCACAAACCACCGATGGGGGAGGAAGTTATTTGTGCCCCGTCGAAGCGCGATCTTGTATTTTCTAAAAAAATCTCACACACTCTTGTACCAGGATAGAATGGCACTATAGTACTTTGCCTCGCGGGTGTTTAGCTTGTCTTGCAGTGAGACGCGAAAACAGCTGATGTCCTCCTTGATCCCCAGTTATAAATGAGAGAAATCACCCTCGAATGTAGCCGACAAGCAAAGAAGAGACGCTTCACGCAATGTCAGCTGAAGCAGGAATGAACCGCGACCCCGACCGTAGAGCCACTTTTGTCGTTATGACGTGGCGGCGCGCAACGCCAGCACGCGCTTGGGAACTGGGGACTCGATTATGGCCGTCAGCGTACACCGTATCTACAGACCCAGTGCACAAAGAGGGCTCAGGTTTCATGCCATTAGATTCGTCCACCATTTTGTTGTTATAAGCCGATTGTCGCGTGTCTAAGACGAGCATTCCAACTACAAGGATGCGCTTTACACGATCAAATATCCAGTGCACAAAGAATTGCAAGTTTCGTCCCGATAACATCTCACAACAAAATGACGGATTGACGTCATGTAAAAACACCCTATACCGCCCCGCGATGCACGCGAGTCACCGATCGTCGATCATCCCTCGTTCAGCTTCGCTAGACACAAGGGGGAGCAGCATGGCGCACTAAGGGTTCACGCAGTGTACTTTGACAAAGCTATTGCCCTGAGGCTCAGTGACCGATAGGATGACCATCCTTGGTGCCGCACAAGTGAAAAAGAAAAATCAACGACTGTCGTCTCGAGTGCATTGTGGGGCAGTATACAGGGTGTCTTCCCCAAGAAATGGGCAAGGTTTCTTTTTTTTTTTTTTTTCACCATACAAATAAATTATGCATCGCCGAACCAGTTGCCCAAGTTCCAGAGCTAATTGTTATCTTATTCAAAAAGTAGAAGTGATTTTCTGTAATTTTCAATGGTCAAATGACGGCGCTGAACTCTCCGCAGTCATGTACACAATCGAAAAAAGTAAACAACTAGAATTAAAATCACTCATGATTAAAAATATTCAATTAGATTATTCGATTACTTGAGAAGAAAACCAATTAGTTACTTGAAAAAGTAACCATTACTTTTACGATTACATTGATGCTTCAAGATATTTAACGCCACGACTGGTCCAAGCTACGCGAAGTTTGCACAATAGGGTGCTGGTAGCGTATCTATATCGTACTGACTCTGTTAAATTTACTTTTTTCCCACAAATAATCGAAGAGTGGAACAGCCTTTCCGAAGTACAAGTAAACTCGTCATCAGTAGAATTATTAAAAAAAAAAAAAGTTGGAAAGTTGTTTTTGAAAAGTTGGCTATTTCGGTTTGTCCTACTTTCTGTTGCATTTCTATATTATTATTTTGTATTCACTACATTAAATTTTTTTTAATAATTTATTGTGCAGTATAATGTACCAACCCCTCCTGCCACTACCTCCAAAAGGAGGTTAGCACTATTTATAAATAAACGAAACAAAACATGGAGATTTTCAAAACGACAGATTTTCTGCCGGTCTGAAAACTGGACTATCGTGATTTCTATTATTATATAAAAATCACCGAATTATAAACGACTTGTGTTCTTAGTTCACCAATTTTTGTAAGCCACCCTCCTCTCAGATACTTGGTTCGAGGATTCCTTTGGAGGAAACTAGTAGAAAGAAAGGGCGTCATTAGAGAGAGGAGGGAAAAATAGGAATGGTTACAAGTGTGTTTAGTACTTCCAAAAGTAATAAACTTACACCGGTGATTACTTCCTACTGAAGGTACTAAAAGTATTACACAATTACTAAAAAAAGTAATCGATTAATTGTAATGGGATTTACTTGTGATCAGTGCCGTACAAGTCCGGCCCTTGAATACACGGATCTGAATAGGCGCCAGTTATCCGAAAACGGTCCCTGTTTTTCCATCGAAAAGTTCCAAAAATCGCTTATAACTTTTGACTGAGATAACGATTAAGTATAAATCGCTTGTGGAGCGCCGTTCACACATATGCGACCGAGTAAGACCGAGAGAGTCCAGACCGGTTATTAAGCCTCTTGCGACGTCTTAGGACCGGATGCCCTGCAGAGGAGCTGGTCCTAAGACGTCGTAAGAGGCTTAAAAACCGGTCTGGTCTCTCTCGGTCTTACTCGGTCGCATATGTGTGAACGGGCCGGGCCTTAAGCGATTAGGCGAGCGGCGAGACAAGAGACGGCGACCCGCTTCGCTGTCGCTCGGTCAGTCGCGCGACGAGGCGGACCGCATGAAAGCGACGCGAGGGAGCGATCAAAGGCGATTAGCGAAGTTTTTAGAAATCCGAAAAACCGAGCGAATTAACGCGACGAGCGACAGTGAGAAATCTCCGTCGTTCGTCGCTGACTCTCGTCACTCGCCAAATCGCTTAGTTTAGCTGTTAGTTCCGAAACTTTGGCGTCTCGTTCGGACTGCTAGTGCTACACTTAGACGGAGAATGAGCGTTCGGCGATGCTCAATTTATTTTTGCGGGAAAAAAAAGCAGGATTTTTTTTTTATTTGGTGGGAAAGGGAGGGGGGGGGGGGAGGGGAGCACGTTGTACATTGTACAAACATTTCTGAGAGGGTACAATTGCTCTGCATCTCCTTTAGCAGACTCTGCGAGCTCCATGAGGGTACGCCGGAACGCCCAAACCCGAATTTATTCAGTTTCATATTGGGTGTACTACATCGGGAAGAAAGGACGAGGCAAAACAATGCCGCAAAGCCTGCCGACGCCTATGCCCATATACGATGTTCTTGCTACGAGTCAGCCTGCAATATAGTAATTGTGTTTCGCGAATCAAAATTAGCGCCTAAAATGAAGGAATGAGAGTGAGACCAGATTTGAGCCTTCAGAATGGAAGGCGCGACGATTAAAACCGCATCGAACGCCGAGATAAAAGAACACTTGCGCGCGGGGAATGAGAACCATTGCGTGAAGATTTCAATTTACCAAATACCTTGCCCGAAAGTAGACGGTTTAGAACGACGCCAAAGCGTGAATAATGCAGCAAACGCGCACGCGCACAGTCCGGCAGCCAAAGGAAACCGATCCGAGCAACGCGATGAGCCGGGTGCAGGAGGTCCGCGGTCCGAAGGGCCCGGGGCGCTCCGGCGAGGTGCACTCACCGTAGACCACTTGCTCTCGTTTCAGCTTTGTCTTCTTCTCGACGCCGTCCAGGACCTCGCCGATGACCCCGCGCTCTCGCAGGCACCTGCCGAGCTCCTCGTTGATCTCCTGAGCCATGATCAGCGGCGGGCCTCAGCGACGGCGACGGGTGACAGACGGGAGCGGGAACGTCCTGTCGCTGCCGGCGCTGGAGATCTCTGGGCGGATCGAACGGCGGCTTGCTCTCAACGTGGCTCGCGTGCACGCGCGGACACGTCAGGGCCCCCGCTTTGTCCACCTCTTCTTTGGCCTCCGGCTGTCGAGCAGCTGACGCATAAATGAAGGCGTCGGTACACCGCTAACAGCGCTCTTTAGCCCACACGAGCGTTCTTTCAACGCTCCCAACAATACAAACACCGATGCGATTGCACGGCACTGCTCAAATCGTGCATCTGCGAACACCGCCCTCGACGAGGCGCGTACCACCTCCTGGTACAGAAAGGTATCTTATTTCGAATCTGACAAGGGTCAGACGAGACACCAAATCTAAAGGGAGGCTAAACTCACGCGCGGGGCTAAGGCATGAGCGTCGCCCATGGCCAGGATAGTAAGGTCGTGTTTTCTTTTCTCCCGGGCGTCTTCGTGGTTCACTAGAGGTAACCGTAAGCTATACGTTAGAGATCCCAGATAGTATAATTACATTGCAATGACCAGACTGCCCCTATGGCCTGGTGAAGGAGGGCTTTAGAAGAAAAGGACACTAACTGGTTAAGATCTCAAACACGCCATGCAAAAATCACCTTATGATTACTATTTATCCTATATACAAGAGTAAATTAAGATAAAAAGCTACCCAGAATTATCGGTGATCCCTGTCCGTATCACCCGCTCCAGGAAGTAGACAGAATGGTCTCCGGGTCTTCTTCCACTCACCTCCAATAGATACCGCTGCTGACAGTGACGTTGGCGGGTGTCATGGGGCACCACAATTTGAGAATGAGAGACGCGTACAATGTGCTCACCGCGTACGACGTTACTTTATTCTTTTTTTTTTACTTCGACAAAATTAACCGTTGATGACAGGAGCCATTGGTTGCATGCAGCGTTGATAAATTCAGCGTTGATAAATGCAGACGTCATTTTTCAAGGCCATACTACCACTTTGCTGCAGTCACCTAACAGTTCAATTGGAATGAGCACATAACGGTTGTCCTAGCGTTCTTAGGGCCCTGTGGAGAATCCGACGAAGCTTTCAAGAGCTCCAATGCAAGTAAAGCTTGCAGGTTACAAAACCCCAGTCGGAGGGCACTCAGTTGGTCGAACGAGGTTTTAGCGAACGCCAACTTTTCATCGAAAGACACATTAACAAATGGTCGGCCGCCGCCCAGCGGCGTTTACGGGTGGGCCAGCTATATGTTAACATTTGTGTAATGAGCCGTCAGAGACTGTCGCCGCAGAGCGGCGTGAACGCAGGGGGCGGGTGGGTTAGCAGTGCACGCGCCCCAGTTATTCGCTAAAATGTCCATTCGCTCAAATGTCCGCTGTTTTCTAAAACATCATTCGCTCATGTGATATGCGTGTCGAGAAACGTATAGTATTGACCATAATACGTTTAATTTTAAAATTTTTTCTTAAACAATAGCTGCATTGAATGAATTCTGCACCTTCACTGACCGTGATTGGTTTAGTTGGTGATAGCAAACGTCCAAAGACGATAAACGTCGTGAAAATGCACTTTTGGCGCTGCTTGGTTAGTTTCATCGGAACGTAGCGTAGGCTTATATACGCATTATATATGGTATATGATTTTAATGCCTTGTTACTTTTCTCTTCCTCGTGCTTTTCTTGGTGTTTTTTAAATGCGCATACGTCACCTTTGGGATGCCTTGTGCACATACTTGACCTGTGGGATGCTGACGATGGCTCTGACTGAACACCGCCTTGTGGAGCTGTGCCGAAGCTGCTATACGCTCGTTTTGCTTGGCTACCGAGCTTTTGGAAGGGCCGGAGTAGAGCTTTCTTTGCGCACCAAGAATCCCGGAGGCCATGCTCGCGATGAGTGTGACGCGACCACATGGCCACGATCACGGGCTCCGTCAAGGCAGGGCGCATGCTGGGCGTTTCTAAAAACCGGCCATCGCGCGCTGAGTGTGTTGCCTGCCTCGCTCTTTCTCTCCCAGATTGGGAGTCCGATTCTGGAGCTGGGCTATGTCTAGCTTTACATGAACGCGATCCTAGCGCGTCGAATCAAGCAGGGATCGATCACACGCACCCTGTCTCTTTAATTCTTCCTCTCCTACCCATCTACTGCCAATCGAAATAGTCAAATCTCAATCCGATGCGCTACAGTCGCATCCATGTGAATGCAAGCTATGATGCGGCTCATAGATGGAACATAAGCACCGCGTGTGCGCTCGACTTGGGCTCGTGACTATCGGCGTTTTGGGGAACCTTCGGATAGTGGCTCGTGTGCGATCGCTCCGGTGACGGGAATACTCTCTAAGAAATATGGGCCAAGGGGAGTACAGGGGTACTCCCCTTGGCCCATATGTAACTTTCCAAAACTAAATTTCGTTGTTCTGTCCACTGACGTCAAGCTGGCGTTACCAACTTTTACGAGCGGCTTGATAATCGAGCGGTACAACTTTTTAAAATAGCTAACGTACGCATTAAAGGCTACATTGAGACAATCAAGTTTTTTTGGGCCCTGCTGCAAGACCTGAGTCATTTTTTTTCTGTAGTCTTTGTTACGCACATTAGCTATTTAGTACGTTATAACTTATATCCAACAACTATCAAGACGCTTGTAAAAGTTGGTATCGCCAGCTCGACGTCAGTGGACAGAACGACGAAATGTAGTTTTGGGGAGTTACAGCTGGGACAAGGGGAGCCCTGTACACCCCCTATTATTTAGAGTGTAGAGGAACCCCAGTGCTGCTATCACTCTGGCCATACATCACCGGCTGGGTTTACACGAATGCAATCAAAGCGCATCGAATCATATGGTAGTATACATATGGTAGTATCGAAATGGGGCGGTAGCTGTTCAAGTAAGTACGCGGTGTTCCTCCTTTAAAAAACGGGTTAAGGACCGCGGTTTTCAGGTCCGCAGGATAACTGCCGGCAGAAATAAAACCATTTAACATGAACAGTAAGACATATTTAATAACATCAAAATTTAGACAAAAATCGCAAATACGAATGCCGTCCATACCAGGCGACTTATTACGCTTGATACCGAGCAGGATGGAACGTAACATGCCTAAGTTTCAAGAGGTTGTAAGAATGCAGAAGCGGATGTTCTGCATCGTGGTCGGAACCAGTTGGCGTTAGTCCACAATCTCTGGCAGTACCCGATGACGCCGCAAAAAAGTTTATTGAAATCATTTACCGATGATTCTAAGTCAGTGTCAAAATGCTTTCGTAAACAATCGATGATATTTTCGAAATGCCATATCCCCTGAAAAAAAAAAAAAAAAAAAAAGCCTCGCTTAGCGGACTGAAAAATCGCATTGGCTCGGTTTCTAACACATCAAAAATCTGCTCCCAGCTGTAGGTTATTTGTAGCATGACGGGAGCCTATCCACAATATTTCCTTATCTTTGATTGCGGCTATTATATAAGCAGTTAAGTATATAGAAATCATGCTTATTTATTAAGGTGTTTTCTTTTGTTAGAACTTTCCAGAGTTGCGTCGGCATTGTTTTTTTTTTTTTAGCATTCTTTGTGGGTGTCGGCGTTTTGGAGGGAGCATTTGCGTGGGCAGAGCGGCCAAGATGCGAGAGCGGTTCCCCCGCGGTCGTTAAGAAACGTCTCGGGTTTCGGGAGTCTGCTCGGACAGATCCCTGGGGCAGCCCGTTCTTGCAGCTGCTTGTGGCTTTTAGCCGAATGTGCCTGTTTATAGAAGGTTTTGCCGCTTAGTGTAAAATTGTCGCTTTTTGCCCGATGCAATAACTTAGCGGTTGGCGCCAGTCAGACTGGGAAAATTGCAGAGAACGACTCTACAAGGAATTTAGGTTTGGCGGTTGGAGCTCCAGGCTGACAGCTCGCTGACCATTGGAGAACCGTGTACCACGTGTGAGTGGTCGAGTTTGAAGAGATTGGTCGGTTCCTGAGGGGAAAGGAGGCCCCTACGGGTATACAAAAAGAGTGCGGAGAGGATTTTGGGGGGATTCGGACTTTAGATTTGATGGAGAGAAATTGGGGACGGGGGTCAAGACTTTAGACAAGGCGGGATGGTCTCCCAAGTTGGGACTTGTAACTAGAGTGTAAATAAATGCACATAGTTCTCTACAAGCAGTGAGTCGACCCGTCACTCAGCGACGTTCGTGCCACCACGCTCCAGACCATCGGAGCGGAACCTGCCTCCCACACCACCGAGGAGGAACAACAACAAACTTTAACTTAAGCGTTAAAGCAAGGTTTCTCTGAGCGCTGCTTAAAGTGTACCTCTTTTTTTTTAAGTGATAGTAGAAAGACTGAAAGACTTCAACAAGGGCAGAGAAAGCAGCAGCGGGCTCAACGGACACCAATAGCGTATTCCAGTGGAAAAAAACAACCAACGCGCCGAATTTCGTCGTATCAATTATTGAAACACAGGAAGAACCGCGCCTGTTTTCTTTGAGCCCCACCGCGACTAAGTGGCTACCTATAAAGTAATTATCAGACAGTTTCTGTGTAATGGCGGCAGATTGCGCTATGGCATTATTGTGATCTATGCATGAAACTATCAGTTTCCCAGACAAAATTTCCTCTCTTGTAGGGAGTCTGATTGTACTCATGCTCCGCTAATAAATTGAAGTAGTCGCAAACCACAGGCCTGTTTGCCCTAAGGGTATCAATATTTTTGGTAATAATAATAATAATAATAATAATAATAATAATAATAATAATAATAATAATAATACATATATACATACATACATACATACATACATTTTATTGGCTCAGTGAGACCATTAAAGAGGGATATGTTTGCGGGCACATCAAAGCCAGCGAAGGGCTTGTGGGATGACACCCTAAAAAAAAAAATAGGAAGGTCCACTTAAGTGATAAGGTGAAGGCTTTGCCTTCAAAATGAGAACTGAAAGATAATAAAACTTCCCCCCCCCTTCCCCGCCCCAACCCCCTTCCCCCCCCCCCCCCTCCCCTTTCCCGATTGTAGCACAGAGTACTAATTACGAAAAAA